GAGAGGCAAGGAATTATTCTTGCCTAAAGCCTCGATTTTGGATTTCTAGCCTCCAGAATTGTGAGGGAATGCATTTCTGTTGTTCTAAGCCACCCACTCTGAGCTACTTGGTTATGACAGTGCATTATTTTGTTTGCTATCAATGAATTTCTTCATCAGAATAGATTTTGGAATAGAACGTGTGATCTGGAATAGGCATTAGCAAGCACCATAAATGGTGGAGCTGGCAGAAATAAAGGTGCCCAGGGAAGTCAAATCCCAATGCCGAAGGTGTTTATTCCACTGAATGTGAACACCTACCACTAGGTCGCCAGCTGGTGCCCGGAGATATGGTACCACAACCAGGTGTCAGGGCTGGTTGTCGCTAGGCAAGATGGACACTCAGTAGAGACAGAAGCCAGGTCAGCTGCTGCGAGGGAGTCTGTGCTATGGACCCATGTCTGGCTCCCCTCTCCCGCACCTTTGTCCCTTTGCTCATGAACTCACTATGTGTGCCTGGAAGTGGCTGAGCAGAGTTATGCTGCAGCAGGGATTCCTCATTTAAAACATCCTCAGCAGTGAGGGACTTCCATGAGCGTTCACAGGGGACAAAAGCAGAATCTCACTGTGTCACTTGTCATCCATCTCTTCTCTATAATTTGTTATAAATCTTTCAACCAATTAATTTCTACCATCTGGCTCAGATTTTAACCATGACAGACAGGTGAAATGAAAGAAAAAGAGAGAGGGAAAGAAGGAAAAGAGTGAGGGTGGGGAGAAGGCGGTCAGCAGATAGGCTGGCTGTAGGGAAGGAAAAGGTAAACCAGGAGAGAAGGCTGAGAGGGAAGGAAGGGGCTAGACCTTGACCGCGGCCTTGCTTTCCAGGCAAAGCGGGTAAGTGACCTGCTGCATCACTCAATGTTTGCCCCCAAAGTAGATTTCCCATCACTTCATTCAGCTCTTTCCTAAATGTGGCTGTGAATACTGAAGCCACTCACTTCTCCCTGAGAGAAGCTTCATGTACCACCTGTTTCTGTCTCTTGTGCAGGTGCCGCAGGGTGAGGGTCTCAATGTAGTAGACCAGACTGATGTTTGGACGGTAGTGAGATGGCAAAAGGCCTCTGAGACGAAATCATGGCCCAGAACCAGGAAATTTGTCTCCCGATATCATGATTACGAAGGGAGGCTGTGTTCTGGTCAGACAGGAGCCTACTGTCTTTCATGTTCTCTGTTTATCAGGTGAGAGGAAAGAAGTTGCCCGCTCCGTAGCCATGTGTGAGGTGCCAGAGGCTGTGCTGGTCTCCGGTAGGAAAGAGTCATATGTCACAGCAGCCTTAATTAGAGTGATCATCTGATTAAGCTTACAGTAATCCTCTGTTTGTAGTCTCAGCCCATCTGACTTCTGTACTCACTACACTAGGATGTAAAAAGAATCACCGCTTATAGGACAGTTGGTGGAGTATTTTACAACGTCTGAGCTGAGCTTCTCTTTTTCCATAATAATAGAAACTTTGTTTGCAGCTTGGAACGTGGTCACCCTCCCTTTTGGCTAAGAGTACCCATGTGGATTGTGAATAGAAGACAGGTGTGCTCAAACTGAACAGTGTGTGTGTGTGTGTGTGTGTGTGTGTGTGTGTGTGTGTTGCTTCCCCTTTTCAATTCCTACTAACTGGAAGGAGATTGTAGATCATTGGCATTCCTGCAGCCAAAAAGCCACACGAGCATATAAGTTCCTTTAGGGGGTTGGTACAGACGATGAAGAGAAAAGTTCTCTTTGGAAAGAAATTAGAGTTTTCTTGGAAAGAAATTAGAACAGTTGCCTGAGAAGAAACATCTCCTAAGGTTGAAGGAGAATGTGCCTGGGAGAACCAGAGAGAACAAGTGAGCTAAGAATAGATGCTTAACAACGCTGCATAATGCTGGCAGATTGCATGGAACCCAGATGGAGGGTCAACTATTGAACTGGGTGACATGCAAGTCATTAGTGACCGTCTAACATTTTCCCATGATTCAATTTCAGGTTATGGATTTTGGGCAAGAATGCACTGAAATGATGTTGTGTCCTTATGAGGAGATACATAATATAGATGTGCTTCAATGTGGGGAATATTAACTCCATGAGTTTCTTCACTGGAAACTTAATATTTACCCTTTGAACTTAGCAAGGGTCTTCTGGGATTCACTTTGAGTCTATGATTCTATCGGATTTGTCATCTTGGTTTTGCCTAATTTTAGCATTTATTCCTGCCTGCGGCTACTGTTACTGTGATGTTTGCCCTTAGTGTTTTTAAGATTTGTTATCCTTTAATCATTAATTGGAATTTTCTGTGAAGAAGTTGCCTGTTTACTATGGAGTGATAAGGGGCAAGGCCACCCAGGTTGTTTGTGATGTTTCAAGGCCCTGTGGAAAGGCCTTCTGACTTTGAAGAAAAGGATTGACCTTCAGTTTTTCACATTGTTCTCAAAATCTGTTGTGCTTACATTACCATGAACTTAAAGACAATCCTTTTACAGCAAGATAGACCCTAACGTGGCCGACCACCTTCTGGGCGACCATAGCTATGAAGTCAGAAGAAAAAGATCGAGGGCAGGGTAGAAACGAAACGACAATTCAGCATTCAATTCCTGCGGCATCTTAGAGGCAGAGAAAGGACACGCTTCTCCAGCTGGGCCTGGATGACATGATAACCTTTATGAACTCTGGTCCCCATGGATAATCAGTCAAAGCCTTTTCACTGGACTCGGCAGGGGACTCAGGAGGTGCTTTTGACTCAAGAACAAAACTTTGATTTGAAAGGGGCTGTGGTTTTTATTTTTCTTCCAAGGAGCAGACAACATAACCTTTCCTTTCTTATAGAAAACTGCATGCTGTAGGTAGAGAAATAAAGGCAGGATCTTTCACAGGATGCATTCCAAGTGTTTTAGGGTTGGGAACTCAGGGTCCCTCACAATACTTGCTGGGACAGGAAATTATTATTCTTTGGGCGAAACTCAGAGAGAAGGGGCATTATCAAAATGAGAGAGAATAAGCCAGCTTTTGCAGATGGAAGGGCAGCTGGCTAGAACGTCTGAAGAGTGCAGCCGTCTCAGGCACAGGTTTGTTGTCAGTGATTAAATAACTTCATTCCAGTGCGTTCCCTCTCCAAGGCTGTCATTTCTCAAGGTCTGTTCTCCAAATCTCTGGACTTCCCTCATTCAAAGGCTTGGGCACCCACTGCCTGGCTGATCTTCAACCCATTCCTTGGTCAGACTGACCCACCACGAATGCTGCATCTGTGAGCTGCAGAGTGTAAATGAACTCTGAATTCCTCGTCCTACCTTTATTTATTTTTTGTTTGGCCTTCTGACGTGAGTATTTCCTAACACAAATAAGACCAGATTCTTTTTTTCCAGAGCAGGCAGAAGGATGCTCTGTGATTACTCTGTCCACATGGATACTGTTCCATTTCTCATTTTCATGCAAATGCCACCTGCTTACACCCACCTCCACCACAATCACTCAAGTCCAAGTGATCGTTATGTCTCTCCTTAATAGTGACCAGAGAATCCAGCACCCTCTCTAGCCCTGTGGTTCTCAACCAGGGGCGAGGTACCATTTAGCAATGTCTGGACACATTTTTCGTTATCACAACCAAAGCGGGTACTGCTGCCATCTAGTGAGTAGAGGCTGGGGAAGCTGCTGGACACCCTGCAATGCACAGGACAGCCCCACACGAAAGACTCATCTGATCCCAAATGTCAGTAGTGCCAAAGTTGAGAAGCCCTGCGCCTGGTTTGCAAAACCATATATACATACTGATGATTGATCTTGAAAGAACAAATAGGATCATGTCACTCTTGCTTAAAGCTTTTCAATTGTTTCTTCTTCTTCTTATTATTATTATTATTGGCACCAGGGATTGAGCCCAGGGGTGCATAATTACTAAGCCGCAGCCCCAGCCCTTTTTGTTTTTGAGACAGGGTCTTGCTAAGTTGCTGAGGCTGACTTTGAACTCGTGATCCTCCTGCCTCAGCCTCCTGTGTCTCGGGGATTACAAGCTTGTGCTACCATACCCAGGGGTTTCTCATTATTCTTACGAAGATTTTTTTTTTTAAAGTCCATAGCTCCTTGAATATGGAGGATCCCTTTCTTCTTGTATCCTGTGTAGTAGCCAAACTGATTTTATTCTCCCCCCGCCCTCAGAAACCATCCAGCTTCCTACGTCACAGGGTCTTGCCACATGTTACTCCCTCTGGAATATCACTCCCCTCTTTTACCAGACTCCTCCCTTTTGACCTATTCACTACACCTTCCAATCCTTCCAAGACCTCAGCTCAAAAGTTACTACATCAGGAAGCCTTTCCTGACAGCACTTTGAGACGTAGCCTGAGATAAAATGTGGAGAGAGGTCTTCCATCCACCCTACCCCATGCCTGATCGTGAGAGTGAGACTGTCCAGGACACCCAGACCCTTCACAATTGTACTAAATAAGCAAATAAATCATTGGTGTTTTAGGCCCCCGGTGTCTTCAGGGGGCTTGTTATATAGTGACAGACAACTGACTCATTCTCGCTGGGTGGCTTGGACTGTGCTCTTCCGAGAGCTCCTTGATGTTACGTGGAATTTTCCTTTAGCCTCTCATGGGCTGTTGGCCATGCCCTGAATTCCTGAGTCATAGTTCACTAGGAAGGATAAAGTCATCTTTGCATAAGACCAGCGAGTTGGTGAGGGCCTTTCCATTCCCTCACTCTGTTCTATCAGCCCCACTAAAGTGGCACCACCAGACTGGGTATCAGCAGGGATTTAATCAGCTCACAGGGCACATCACTGCAGGAGGGGGATGGCTACAGTTTTGATGACCTTTCTGTTCCCAAATTCTGAAAGGGGAATCACTTAAAAAATGAGCCTTTTTCCAAAAAAAACCTTTTGTGGGAACTCTCAGGTGCCAACATTCTCCCCTGGCCCTCACCTCCTTACTCAGGGACCCCCTTCCACCCTTCCCGAGAATCCCTGTCCATACCCTTTGGCAATTTGACCTACCGGGGAAGCCTCATGGGTCGAGTGTGGTCTGTCCCCTCTGAAACTCACGTTGAACTTTGCCATTGTGGTGGTGATGAGAGGTGGGGCCTGTAAGAGATCATCGGGTCCTTAAAAGGATCCATGTCTTCTCGAGGGACAGGAGGAGGTAATGAGCGCTGGGTGTTAGAGTGAGCCTTCCCTGGGTTTTGCTTCTTCTGCTCTCATCTTTCTCTGTTTCCAACTTCTACAGCACAAGGCCTTCAATAGCTGCAGCTACCTGGTATTGGGCTTCCCAGCCTCTGGAACTGTGAGCCAAAATAAACCTCTTTTCTTTATAAATTATTATATCTCAGATATTCTGTTATAGAAACAGAAAATGGACTAAGGTAATCATGTAAGGGAGAAATCTGAAAGAGGAAATGCTCTGGTACTGTTGGATTTTTGGATGATGGATTTCCTCTAAGAATCCCATGCTGAGGGTTCATGGGTATTCGATAGAACAAGTAGGTCTACAAATCTCATCTGGCTTCTTTCAGCAGGCAAGGTACATGTTCCCAGGGGTAGTCATCGCTTTTCCGAGAACAAGGTCTACTCCACCCATATTTAAGGAACAGATAATGCCCTTCACTAGCCCAGTTCTTCTACCTGGCCTGGGTTTCTAGGAGATATCACACCCCATCACTAGGCACAAAGGGACTCGATTTCTTTCCTGTTCTGTCGCATTACTAGCTATTTATTTTATGCACTACTAGCATATTAAAGGGACGCCCTTACCACTAATGACTGTTTCCTTTGTTACTCTTGGAGATAACACTGATAGACAGAAGGAGACCAAGTTATTCCATTTAGGCCTGTGAGTCCCAGACTGGAAATGTCTTGTTATAATGGACTTTTTTTTTTTTTTTGAGCCTCTCATAAAGTGACTCCCTTTTGTAAGGGGCTTGATGTTTCTCCTGAAATGAAAAGTAATCCCAGGGTCCTTCACTTGAAGAACAGGATTGGACGTTAGGCACATGGGGAAAGACTAGACATCAAGGTCAAGGAGAACCAGGCCTGGGCTCCTGGTGATGCACTGAGACGGCCTCATGAACATACAGCATCACATCTCTTTGTGCTGTTGTGGGCCACAGGCTAAAGAATACTGGCTCTAAATCTGACCTGATTATAAATCACATTATCCAGATTTGAGATGAGCACTCATTTATATTCCTATTGTTATATCTTTAACTTTAGCAAAATCAGTTTTCGTGGGCAGGTGCGTTTTAAAATTTATTTCATTTAAAAAATCAACTCTATTATGGGATTTAACAGAAGAACATAACTGGCCCCAACTGGACAGCACATGCCATACCTTCTATGGCATTCCTATTTGGGCTGAGATTCCTATCTGCCTGCTGCTTCCTTCTGAATTTTCTAGAAGCCACACGGGAAATCTGGGCTTTTCCACTCTATGTGGGAGTCTCTCTACAAAGCTTTCAACACACCTGGCCTCCATCAGGAAGGAAGGCGTAGCCATACTTGAAGGGAGTTCAACTGTTTCCACCCCCGGCTGCTCCACCCTCATCCATATCTGGGGTGGTGACAGTTCAGGCAAGGGCTTCCCAGTTGCGTTCAGCTCTCTTTCCTTCCCAAACCTGAGCTCTTTTCCAGTTTGGGAAGGTCTTAATCTCTCTACTGTGGAGGAAAGCTTGGTTGACTGCATATTCTTGCAAACTCTGCTTTTACGCATCACTGCCTTTCAAAGGAAAACCCCAGCAACTCCATTCTTTTGTTCCTTTTGGCACACTGTGTGGCCTCTTGTGTCTTCCATGCCAAGTGGTAAAGGAGAAAGGGCCACAGGGAAGCCAAGGAATTATAGGGATGGGAAGATGACATCACACTATTCTGTAGGGAAGGAAAGGTCCCGACACCAGAGCAGGGTCACTGTTGTGTAAGCAGACAGGGTATGCAGGGAGTATGTGACACACAGGACCAGAGGGCAGGCCTGAGAACTTCAGAAGCTGCTCAAGGAGGCAGAAGATCCCATCAGAAACTGATGATGGGGAAAAAGGATCCGGGAGACTCCCACACCCACACAACAGGCCAAACGGAATTTAACCCACAAAGGCCACGAGGTGGTCACCTGGGTGCTCTGTGAGCATGTCGATACAAGGTGCACATCAGCTGTGTCCTGCCAGGCTGGAAGTGGAGGAGCTGAACAGAAACAGAGTCAGCTGCTAAGTTTATTTATTCTTGAGTTTTCCTAGGCTACCTAGCATTGAGTGCCAGAGCTATCTAATTGCCATGGAAACCTGAATCAGCTTTAGAGATGCTGGACACCACCCTGATTTTTGGACATCAAGCAAACAGTCTCTCTTTATCATGGAGCATAAAACCACCATATTACTATGCTAATAAGTGCTATTATTTAGAAAACTGATGACTACATAATAAAATACATAGTACACCATAGTAACAAAATAAGACCTCCCAGTAGCAAAAGGACAACATTAGGCAGGGCATGGTGGCAGACGCCTATAATCCCAGCAGCTTAGGAGGCTAAGACAGGAGGATCTTGAGTTCAAAGCCAGCCTCAGCAATGGCAAGATGCTAAGTAACTCAGTGCAACCCTGTCTCTAATAAAATATAAAAATTGGGCTGGAGATGTGGCTCAGTGGTTGAGTACCCCTGAGTTCAATCCCTGGTACCAAAAAAAAAAAAAAAAAAAAAGACACCATTAATAGCCACTATTTTAATTTTTTAGAGGGCTTTAAAGAATTTGATTGAAATAATGATTAAAGGTAGGTAAAATGTCCTTAATGTCCTTAATGTTTCTTCTGAAATGAAAGGTAATCCAAGTGTTCTTCACTTGAGGAACAGGATTGGATGTTAGGCATATGGGAAAAAAGATAGACAGTTAGGAGCATGGAAAACCAGGTCTGGGCTCCTGGTGATGAATTGAAAAGGTCTCATGAACATACAGCATAGCAGCCCCTCTGTGCCACACCAGAATTCCTGGGAGAGTGTAAGGAATGCAAATTCTCAGGGCCCAGCCCGGCCCTACTGAATCACAATCAGCAGTGTGTAAGATATCCAGGGGATTCAAGTGAGTATGAGACTGTGAGCCACTGATCTATGCAACTTTAATATTATAATAAATAATAAAGACACATTTATTTGTGGTAGCAGATTAAGGTCTTTGAAACAATACAGTTGATATATTAAGACAATAATTGTTTTATATAAGATACAGACTGCTATTGTAATTATTGCAAAATTATTCTCCTTGTTTTTCCAGGTAAACATTTACTTTTAGTTAGAATCATTTATGTATCAGTAGCTAATAAACAAATTCATCAGTTATAAAATCAACATACAAAAGGCAATAGCTTTCCAAAAAAAAAAAAAAAATCAATAGCTTTCCTGTGTATTAGGAAATTGGCAAAGGCTAATCACTGTTGATTCTCACATTTTCAATTTGAAGAAAAATTAAAGTGCTGCTTTTTGTGTACTTGAGGTTAATATCAGGATTGCAAGGGTCTGGAAAAGCTGTAACTCTAACAGTGACTCAAGGATAAGGGTGGATAAAGGTTGTCAACTAGGCTTTGAGCTTGGGTTTGGTAGAAAAGAATTGTGATATTGTGAAGAAGTTAGGCTTACTCTATCTGAGAGCCAGGTACATGGTACATTCCTACAAAACAAGTACCTTCTGGGCTGGGAGGTAGCTCAGTGGTAAAGTGCTCACTTAGCAAAAGGCCCTGGATTCAATCCCTCTACACCACAAAAATGATCCCCCCGCTGCAATCCAAACGTGGCTTAGTCATAGGTTGCACCTCTTACTTTAAATGTCATTGTTCATAGGAGGGCTGTGTTTCAGCACATAAGTGGTACCATAAATTGACCAAGTGAGACTGAGTCTAAGCCACTAGGTCATAGATAGTCCATAGACACTGAGTCATAGATGGTCTGTAGATGCCTCACTGTTATTTTATACAGCTGTCTTATTTTATAAGCTGTCTTAGATGCACACCCAATAGCAGAGGGCAAGACATGGCCAAATGGTACACCCCTGAATGCTTCTAGTAGAAGTTATATTCAGTAGGTGATATAGAAAGCACTGTGACAGCCCTGTCTAAACATTAGGTGTGTGTTAGTCAGATTTTCATCACTGTGACAAAATACCTGAGAAAAATCAACTTAAAGGAGGAAAGACTAGTTTTGTCTCAGTTTCAGAGGTTTTAGCCTATGGCTCCATTGCTGTGGGCCTATGGTGAGCAAAGTATCATGGCATAGAGGACATAGTGGGGCAGAAATGCTCAAACTTGTGGCAGCCAAGAAGGAGAGAGGGAGGAAGAGAGAGGGAGGAGAGGGAAGGAGGGAGGGAGGGAGGGAGAGAGAGAGAGAGAGAGCAAGCTGGGGACCTATTCCCTTCAACTAGGTTCTCCCTGCTCTAGTTTTTACCATCTCCCAAAAATACATTCAGCTTTGAATCTCCCAATAGATTTATCTGTTGATGAGTTCAGGCCCCTATGATCCAATTACTTCCCTAAATTCCTGCTTCTGTTCACTGTTGCACTGGGGACCAAGCCTTCAACACATGAGTCTTGAGAGGGGCATCTCATATCCAAACCAAAACAAGGTGGAAAATCTATTTTTAGTCTGGACCTAATTCAGGAAACATTTTTCTTATGAATTGATTGGATTCTGAACCCAATTCCATTATCACAGTGGTGCAGAAAGGCAGAAGGCTAGTGAGCACAATGGCTCAGGGCCAAGAGAATGTGCTCCCCAGTCTTCACAACTCATCCCAGTCATGTATAAGAGCAGAATTTGAGCAGAGTATTGGAAGGAATCAAACCCTACCTACATTCCATTGATTGTGGGAGCCTTGAGGAGTTGCACGTAGAAACCAAGAAATCTTTCTGCTTTCACTAAGAATGACTCTGATAGAAGAAAACAAATGCTCAAAGGAACAGCACATGATCCACAGAGTGGAATCCGCTGACCCAAATGCAACACCAGAGATGTTTTACCAGCCTCTTGGCTCTATCTGCCAAAGGATGCCCTTGTTAGAGAACAGGAAGTTAATATCAGAGTCTGACCACACATATTATAGTTTGTTATATATAAATAGGTTAAGAAAACTATGAAGCAGCAACTCTCAGGACTCCTCAGGTTCGTGAAACTCTTCATGGGGTCTGTAAATTTTTCCCTTTCCAACTGCATATCAGCTTAGGCCCAGATTTTCCTCAAATCCTTCAACCAAGACAGCGTGTAATGATGGGCAGAATGGAAAAGCAGATGTGAGAATCCAGCTGTTATCTATAAATCTAGTGAGTAAAGAGGTTTGTAAATATGTAAAATGAAATCACTGTCCTCACTGACATTTTTCTTAGAAAGCATAGTGACTTTTAAATAAAAACATTTATGTCAACCTGAATGGGTTCCTTATTATTTTCAAGTGACTTAATATCTTCAATATTCGTCAGTGTTAATCTCTATTATGGTAAGTATCCTTAGACTTAACCATATAAACAAAATCTCTTGGGGAATTCGTAATGATATTTAAGAGAATAAAGCCCCCCCCCATCAAAACTTTTGAGAACCACAGTTCTCTAATTTCTCATTTTATAGTTTGAATCCCTGGATTCTCAGATTGTATGTTGTTCCCTTGACAGATGTGAGAGTCCCCAGCTGTTGCAAGGTGCTCCCATTGTGACTTGGGTGCCTGCCTTGCCTGGACACATTACAGCCCCCTTCAAGTCTTTCTGCCTTCTGCCTTTAAAGTCTCCCTGCCACCCAATTCTCCCCATCACACGACCTATAATCACAATTATGGCAATTAATTGCCAGATAATGCACAGGTGATAACTACCGACGTGAGGTGACTCAAGTTAGTTTCTTCTAACAATGTGTTTGCATCAGTTTTAAGAAGGTCTTTATCTGGGCCATGAGAGTGGCCTTCAGGGACTTTCAGCCTGTGCTTGCCCTCTAGGTCTTCACCATCGTCACCAAGTCATTACATGTCATCTTCCTCAGGGCCAGAACTTTCTTTTGGTTGGTGCCTCCATTGCTTTTATCTCTTTTTAGGTTCATAGCAAGATGTATCACTGGCAATAAAGATGAACCAACACAGAAATTTTATGTGCTGATCTTTGGAGTGTTTTCTTAGTATCCAGAAATGTTTGGTTTGCTTATTATAGACTTTTTTTTTTTAAAGCCAGTAAGTGGTTTTTTTTTTGGACTCAGGTGGGGATTTATTTTTTGTGGTGCTGAGGATTGAACCCATGGCCTTGTGCATGTGATGCAAGCACTCTACCGACTGAGCTATATATCCCCAGCCCCTAATAGTATAAATCCCCACCTGAGTCCAAAGGCCTGAGAACAAGAGCCAAGGTCTGGAGACCAGAGAATATAAAATCCCAGAACAGAGAAAGGGATTCACCTAACTCTGTCTTTTTGTTCTTTTTCAGACAACAAAGGATTGGATGTTGTGTACCTACATAGATGAAGGCAGATCTTCTTTACTCAATCTGTCATTCAAATGCTAATCTCTTCAGAAAACACCCTCTTCAACACACGCAGAAATAACATTTTACCAGCTGTCTGGACATCATTTAATCTGGTTAATTTAACATACAAAATTAACCAACATGGCAAATTACCCCCAAATGCAATTGTTTGGAGTAGCATTTATTATCTCATGGGTTTCGTTTGTTTGTTTGGTGCTGGAGATTGAGATTCAGGGCCTCTAGCGTGCTAGGCATATGCTCTACCACTAAGCTACACCCCCAGCCCCAAACAATTTTTTTTCTTTTCTTCTTTCATAGTTTTTGTGGGCCAGGACAGGCATGGCTTAGCTGGACCTTGTGTTTTTGGGTCTCTTGTGGGACACAGTCACGTGTTAGCTAGAGCTGCAGTCTTGTCTCAAAGCTCAGTTGGGGAAGGAGACACTTCCAAGCTAATCCAAGTGTCTGTTGGAAGGATTTGGTTCCTCACATACTATTGGCTGAAAGCCACCCACAGTCCTTCCACGTCTACCTCTCCAACACTGGGACCTGCTTCATCTAAATGTAAGACATGAGAAGACAATTAAAAAGTCATTATAGAAATCATGTTGTTCTGCAATCTAATCATGGAAGTGACATCGTATCATTTAAAAAAATTTTTAATTGTCAATGGATCTCTTATTTGTTTGTTTGTTTGTTTATTTATTTATATGTGGTGCTGAGGATTGAACCCAGTGCCTCACACATGCCAGGTAAGTACTCTACTACTGAGCCACACCCCCAGCCCTATTTTGTATTTTATTTAGAGACAGGGTCTTACTGAATTGCTTAGCACCTCACTGTTGCTGAGGCTGGCTTTGAACTTGTGATCCTCCTGCCTCAGCCTCCCAAGCTGCTGGGATTACAGGTGTTGTGCCACCATGCCTGGCTGCATCCTATCACTTTTGCCTATTCTCTTTGTCAAAACAAATCACTATCCAGCCCACATTCAGTTACCTTCGTGAAGCATTTTCTGTGTATTCATCATTATGAGATTCATGCTTTTTAAGTGAATAATCTCACTTGGTTTCACAGCAGTCCTCTAAAGTCAATAAGAAGACACTGCTGGAAGTTACCTTCCTCCCTGGTGGCCCAGCCTTAATTTTGTTCAGGTGTCTATGCTCCATGCAGCCCTTATTGTAGGAGAGGTGACTCCATCACCTCACAAGATGAGCCTAAGCCTCTGCTTTATTAAAATCTGATAGTGCAAGGCCCTAGGTTCAATCCCCAGACCAAAAACAAACCAAGAAAACCCAGTGGTAGGCAGCACCTGCACCATCCTCCAGCATTCAGTGACACACTGGTTCACATTATTTTCGAATGCTTTTCAAATGTTTATCTTGGTTCTCAACCAGAAAACAAGCTCTTTAAAGGTAGATCCAAAGCTCCTTTGACCCATCATAGCGTGGGGTTCACCTTCACTGCTGAATTTAGATAAGAAAAATTGATGTATGACCAAGTGTAGATTGTACTGACTGATCAATCTAATTTTACAGAGATAATGTAAGTAATTCAAACTCTCCACAGAGCTTTGTTTCTTCCTTTTATGGGAGGCTGCCATAAAATTCATGTTTAGGTGATTAATAATAATAAAAATTTTGACAATAGTAGAAACTTCCATTTTAGTGCTCATGGGCCAACATTTATGTGTTTTTTGTTTGTTTGTTGTTGTTATTGTTGTTATTGTGTGGTGCTGGGGATTGAACCAGGGCCTTGTGCATGTAAGGCAAGCATTCTACCAGCTGAGTATAGCCCCAGCCCCACCCAAACTTTATGTGTTTGTGTTTGTGTGCATGTGTAAATATACACATGTGTGTATATATACTTAATTCTTATAGCAGTTACAAGGTACACATTAATATTTCCATTTTATAGGTAAGGAACATTCTGAGACAGTGACCTGATCATGGCTATTAAATGTGGTGGGCAATTTAAATTTAAAAACATCCTCTGGGCTCCAAGGCCAGGCTCTTCCTTCTGCCATATTGTCTCCATCTCTGCTGCCTCTATCTGTTTAGGAGCCAAAGAAGGGGTGGTGTGTTAGTCAGCTTTCCTTTGCTGTGACAAAATACCTGAGATAGAAAATTGCAATGAAGAAAGATTTATTTTGGCTCATGGTTTCAATCCAATGGTCATTTGTTCCTGTTGTCTTAGGGTCTGAGGCAAGGTACCCCATCATGATGGAGGAAACCTTTTTTCCTCGTAGCAACCAGGAAACAGAGAGAGTAAAAGGAAGAGGCCAGAGTCCTCATAGCCCACATGAGGGCATGCACCCAATGACCTAAGAGGTCTGCTAGGCCTCATCTCTTAGAGGTTTCACCACCCCCAGAATAGTGCCACAGCTAGCTACCAAGACTTTAGTATATGTGTGGTGGCACCCCCTTTCTCCACAGAAAAGTCTTACCTGGGCTTCTCCAGAAATCCTCACCATGGCTGATTTTAGGACTGTCAGCAAAAGAGTCTCTACAAAAGAGTCTAACGTAGATAAACTTCCAATTTTCGTGTTGCCCTGTTTTACTTGGCCACTGGCCGGGAAGAAATCAGCACTCCAGGTGCTGGACACCCCCTTTCTAGGTTTTCGCAAACATGTGTCCATGTATCCAGTAGAGTAGTTTGTAGAAATGTGTAAACAAGGCCTCTGGCTTTGAGCTGGGGCTTCACAGAGAAGTCTACATTTCTAAGATAAGAGAAGTTATCAACTGGGCTCCATGGTAACAGCTGGCAGGGGGAGGAAAGATAGGGGAGAAGAAGCTCTCCCCTCCTCAGGTGCTGTCCTTGAAGGGTTAACTTGCTGAGAACAGTAAAAGAAAAAGCTGCCTTTATGTGAACTTCTGTAGGCTGGGTATAAAATTCTGAAATTACCTGTACTCGGGATTCAGGGAATTGATTGATTATAGCAAAAGCTGTGCCCTCTGAACCTGGCTGCAGCCAAATAAAACTGTTTCCTGCTATCTTCAGTGCCTTGCCTTGTCTGTCCCTCAACATATGGACTTTTAAGATCCAAACCATAAAAAAGTGCATTCAGAGCAGTTCGGGTTGAGATTCTAGCAGAACCAACTTATGAGAAGCAGAACACCACATGAACAAAGCTAAGCTATCCCTGTGTGCCTATGAAGTACTTTAGCACATCTTATTTAAATCTGTTAAATTGTAAAATGAGCTGGGCATAGTGGTGCCTGCCTGTAATCCCATCAACTCAGGAAGGTAAGGCAGGAGGATTTCATCTAAGTCAGCCTTAGCATTTTAGTGAGATCCTCAACAACTTATCCAGACCCTATCTCTAAATAAAAATTAGCTCAGTGATAAAATGCCCCCAGACTCAATCCCTAATACTGAAAAAATAAATTATAAAATGATTTCAGTCCTTCCTAACTTCCTACCACAACATAAAGCAAAATTTTCTATACCTAGAACTTTCCGTAGATACTAAGATACTCAGTCCTGATTTTGGTAACCAAAAGCCACAGAAACAAGGCCCAAATCCTTTATGTACCAAACAGAGCTTGGCTGTCTGGTGTGTTTTGTAGATGACATTCATTCTGTGTGGATGTGTAGGGGGGTGGGTGTAGATGGGATTGGCCTGCTCTTGGGAGGGGACATACCAGAATGGGAACACCTAGCACTATCCTCAACCCATTAAGTGCTACAGTCATAGTACATGGAGTCTGTGAGTGTTTCAAGGGTCTATGAAAATATTTGAGGCAGGGGATGTACAGGTTTAAAGTGCTTACCAGCAAGTACAAGACCCTGAGTTGGATCCCCAACACCAAAAAAAAAAAAAAAAAAGTTTTGTTACCTTTGAAAGTGATTTGAAAGTTCTGATTTTCTCACTGCCCAAGAATTCCCAAACATACACAGTAGACTATTTATAGAGCTCCCAGAGCCACTTCACAGAATAAATGAGTCATTTGTGGCCATGTAATTTCAAAATCAAAATCTTTTAAAAAATGATCCCAACAAAAATGTATTTTATGTGGTCTGTAAATGCCTTTTGACATGTGATATAATGGGGGGTTGGACCCACCAAAAGTGTCTAGAGCTGAGGCCAACTTTGTGGACACGTGACCTGTGCACTTGGTGCAGGCCCAATGTTTAAAAGGGCCTCGAAGCTGGCTTAATGCTCTGTTGCTGACAGCTCAGAGGTCTCAATGAGTTTTTAGCTATGAGTCCCACATTTTCATTTTGTATTAGACCCTAGAAATTATGTACCTGGACCTGTCTAAAACCTGTGAAGACTGAAAACAGCCCTGGCTGGTGGCATGTACCATTCTAAAACAGGAAGGCTGTATTACTTCCCTTTGCTCTGGCTTGTTTTTAAGTCCTGTGTTCTATTTACCTGAAAAGGTGAGGGTTTTTTTGTTTGTTTGTTTGTTTTCTGTTTCTGGTAAGGTAGCTGCTGTAGTTTGAATGTTTGTCCTCCAGAATTAATGGGTAGAAAACTTAATCCTCAAAGTCATAGGTTAGTAGCATTTGGAGGTGGGACATTGAGCAGGTGACTGAGTGAAGGAAGTCTTTGTATTCATGAATGGGTTAATCCATCCATGCACTAATGGATTAATGGGTTATGGAGGGATGGAAGGTATTGTCAGGAGATTGGGTGTGTTGTAAAAGCCAGTTTGGTTGTCTCTCATGAGACCCAATGCCATGTGATGCCAAGACTCTTCAAAGCGTCTCTCCTAGCAAGGTCCTCATCAGATGGCCCCCTTGACCACAGACTTCCCAACCTCCAGAACTGTGAGAAAAAAATTTCTTTTCTTTTTAAATTTCTTACTCTCAGGTAGTCAGTTTTAGCAACAGAAAATGAACTAAGACAGTAGCCCAGATATTAAAAATTGGCAAAGTACTGTGCTAAATATAAGACACATTTCCCTTTAACCAAAGACCCAGACCAGCATCAGAAAGTGTTACACATGGTGCCAAGAATTCATGAAAAATAAAACATTCTTCAAAATTAAATCCAGGCTAAGCATTTCAAAAAGAATTGGAGGCCAAATTGTTTGCTAGGAACCAGAAGTCAGCAAACATTACCTCCGCAAATTCAATTTTAGGTAGCTGGGGGACATTTTCATCTAGACAAAGTTTTAAAATGGTCCTAGCCACAATCCATCAAAGTACTGTCTAGACAAAGGACGGCATTTTCTGTTGTGGGAAACCAGGGGAGGAAAAACACAGGGCCGCATCCTGTTGATATCCTAGGAGGCTCAAAGGCAGGATAAGCCCTGAGTGTTCAGGTCGGGCAGGCCACCAAGCACTTAACCCTCTCCTTCCCTCCCACGCCCGAGTCACCAGGGCCAGGTAAGGACACTGCCATTTGTTGGACCTAAAGGAAAGTTCAGTCTCGGGATTGCTGACGGTCACACCTCCCCTGGAGGAGGTCCCAGCAGCTCCTGGGACAGCAGGAAAGGAAGGGTGGACAGAGGAAAAGGCATTGGTTGGTCATCATCCTCGCCAATTTTATTACCTGAATAAAGTGTATATTAATCTTCTGCTTCCCCCTTTTTTATTATAACAGTACCTGCTCATCTTGGAAAACATATAGCATAGAAAAAAATGGAGAGAAGAAGAAATCACTCATAATTCCACTTAAAAATACTGCTGTATCATTAATACTTGGATGTGTTTCTTTCTGGTCTCTTTTTCACAGTATTGTTTATTTATTTATTTATTTATTTTATTTGTAGTTGGACACAAGATCTTTAATTAATTGATTTATTTTTATGTGGTGCTGAGGATCAGGATCGAACCCAGCACCTTGCACATGCTAGGCGAATGCTCTACCACTCAGCCACAACCCCAGCCCACAATATTGTTTATTTTTATATAAATGTGTGAAATAGATAGGCTCATATTATATTTATAATTTTGTTTCATTTTTTTTCATTAAATGGCAGTCCACATGGCTAGGGTGTTTGCAGCATCCCACTCTCAGTGGAGAGAACTATTTGGTGTGACAAGCACACCAAAAATTAGGTAAGAAAGAGCTTGTTGAAACAATGTAATCCGCCCAGTGTGGTGGCACATGCCTGTGATCCCAGTGGCTCTGGAGGTTGAGGAAGGAGGATCACAAATTTAAGGTCAGCCTCAGCAATGTAGTGAGACCCTAAGCAACTTAGTGAGATTCTATCTCAAAAAATAAAAAGGGCTGGGAATGTGGCTCAGTGGTAAAGTGCTCCTGGGTTCAATTCCCAGTGTACTCTGCCCTGGAATTAAAAGCAAGAATCTAAGATATTGAGTCTGAACATACAACATTGAAAATGAAGATAATACAATAGATGTGATTTTAAAAAAATTATGGAGAGGCTTATTGAGAAACAGAGAGAAAGCCAGATTAAGACCAGGAATTAAAGTGGACATAATTACAGAGAAAGCTATTCACATAAAAAGACTACAAGGACTATTTTATGCAAATAAATTTAAAATCTTAGGTGAAACACAGACATTTCTAGAAAAAATAATGACTAGAAAGCTTGAATATGTGTGCACAGAGTACAATTACACACATACAAAAATATAGAGGGTTGGGCTGGGGTTGAGGCTCAGCGGGAGAGTGCTTGCCTGGCAAGCCTGCGCTAGGCACTCAGTTTGATCCCCAGCACCACATAAAAAAGAAGTAAACAAAAATAAAGGTATCAAAAACAAAACAAAACAAAATCCATAGTTTAAAATGTATCCACTAAAAAAAAAAAAAAAAAAATCAGACC